AATTAAAAATAAAAAATTTTCTGTCACATCACAAAAATAAGTACAAAAATAACAATGAAAACAAGTCAACACGCATGCACTTGTAAATTTTTTATTTTCTACTTTTTCTCCTTGGTTGTTAAATTGTATAGTCTAAGCTGTCAAACTTACGCGTAGATTTTAAAATAAATAAATACTACCATAACAAACCCGCCGTCATTGATATAATTACTTAGTGCATTTAAAATATGTTTAAAACCATATAATTGACCATAGTAATAAATTAATCTTTGTAAAAAATATATCTAATTACTATTTTTAGTAAATTTTTATTTTCTACCATCATATTGGAAAAATACTTTGACTTTTAAACAAAAAAGAATTATTAAAAACGTTATATACAACACACAAAATATGAACTACATTTATATATTGACAAATCTATATAATTTTTTGATGCTTTAATTTTTCATAACTTAAAATCTTAAATTTTATGTCATATTTAATATACATATCTTATAAAATTCAAATCTTAGTCTCGTAACGTAAATATAACATGCAAAACTAAATCCAATTTTAGAATATAATTTATTAACATAGAAGATATTTTTGAGTTTAGTAGTAAAATATTGAAGATACAGAATTTGCACGCTTTCCAAAGAGTGTTTGTAGAAGAAACAGTGAACCAAACTTTTAATATTAATTCTGCCTAAATATCCGGTGACTGCCCGAAACTTTTATACGCTTATGGTCAAGCTGCCCGAAATCTGAACGGGCAGTCCAAACACCAAGAAGACTCCAACACTGGGATTATTATCTATCACCCTCAGAGTTGAACCAGACACACTTCCACGTCACCACCGTGGGAGGCGGCGCGTGGGGCGGTTTCCGGCCACCTCTCTCAGCGCGAAGTGGTGATCGAGGAAATGGGTCAGAAGCTGAGTTGCGTGCAGCAGCATGAGGACCATGGTGTGTTCCCTGCCCTTGCTAGCGGAGAATTGGAGGTTGTTGAGACCATGGTGGAGGAAGACCCGACTGTGCTGGAACACACCACTGGCCATGATAAGCTCTCGCCGCTGCATGTAGCTGCTGCCAATGGTCGGATCGAGGTTGTTCTCTTGGATTTGAATGCTGGTGTCTCTGCTTCTGTTGCTATGTCTTTTTATGTGTTTTGATCATGGTGCTGTTTTTGGTTTTTGAGCAGGTTCTTTCCATGTTGTTGAACAGGTCTTCCAATGTTGACATATTGAATCGTCTGAAGCAGGTGCTTCTCTTGTCTGTGTTTATCTGTAACTGCAACTCTTAAGCTTTAAGATAAACATTATGGACATTTGTAAGAGAAGAAAATAAGAATTTAAAAAGAATTGAGTTTTATAATTTCAAATACAAAGTTTTCTCATTCAAATTCTTCAAAGGTTATTTTAGTTTATCAGATAAACTCAGTTATTTTCTTTCTTATATGTTAATCTTTTGTAAGTGTCTATAGGGAAGTTTGGTTACAGAGAGTACTAGTCTCTACTTTTGTGACTTTCAAACTAAACGTTGTACCCTTGTTTAGTTTCATTAGATACTAAAATTGTATTTCTGATTTGTTTTTTTCTTTGTGTGTAGACCCCGTTGATGTTGGCTGTGATGCGTGGAAAGACTGGCTGTGTTGAGAAGCTTATCCATGCCGGAGCAAATGTATGTTATACTTTTTGTTTTGTTTAGATTTTCTAATAGAATGTTTAGAATTGCTGTAATTTTGAGAATAGTGGATTATGATTTTCTCCTAGCTAGGGTATTGACAATGGTTTGTGCTTTTAATATTTCAGATATTGATGTTTGATTCTGTACGTCGGAGAACTTGCTTGCATTATGCTGCTTATTATGGTCATATAGATTGCCTTAAGGCTATTCTTTCTGCTGCTCATTCCACACCTGTTGCAGATTCTTGGTTAGACATACAATTTCCTTCTCTCTTCCTCTGTTTATACACACACTAGTCATAAAGCGCATACAAGCATGAATGTTGATGCTTAATTCTTGGATGGAATTGTCAGGGGATTTGCAAGATTCGTGAACATAAGAGACGGAAATGGTGCTACCCCTCTGCATCTTGCAGCTCGCCACAGACGGTCTGAATGTCTTCATGCCCTTCTTGACAATGGTGCTCTTGTTTGTGCTTCAACCGGTGGATATGGGTAATTGTCTTAGAAGTTATGCATTAGTCATTCTTGTATGAGTTTTTATGGCTTTTCGTTCAGATTGATGAAAGTAACATGTGCAGTTACCCTGGAAGCACACCACTGCATATGGCTGCCCGTGGTGGTTCTTTGGACTGTGTTCGGATGTTGCTTGCTTATGGAGCAGATAGACTTCAATTAGATTCTTCTGGGTAAGTAAATGCTATTTACAATTTAAAGATCTATTATAGCTGTCAGTCTAGATAACCATTTGAAAATATGGAAAAGACTTTAAGGATCACTCATGAATTAGCAGTATATAGTGCGAAGTTTCTTCATATGCACATCTAATTTTTAGATTCCTAACTAATTTATCTTTATAAATAGAAGAGTTTAATAATTTTTTGGTACCTCCAACCCTTGTTGAAATTGGTACTTCCAAAAGTTTTGCAGTGCTTTTCAAATTGAACATCTAATAAATATGATAATTTGGTCATGAAAGTTATTTTCTTCCTTTTGAAATAAAAATATTGACATGTTAATTTTGATAATCTTACATGTTTGCATACTTACAAATATCTTACTGGGATGATTACATGTACTAAAAAGTAAATTTGTTAACTGAATGAAATTTTGAAGTTTGTTTTGTTGACTAAGAAATGATTTTTAAGTCTCTGAACGGGATTTGTACGCATAAAAACTGAACTTCATCAGATGAAGAAACAAATTCATTTATGAAAATTGAAAATATTAGCTTATTTCGAGACTATTTTTTACTATAATTTGTGCTTGAAATCTATGTTGTGCGCCTAGATACTTTAAGAAAAGTAAATTTTTTGTTTTTCCTCAGTTAATGTCAACAGAGAATTTTCTTCAGCCTCTTTTCTGTCCTTTCTATAATTCCAAAAAGAGTTTCTGGATGTTTTATTCATTACAAGCAAATCTGTTAAGACCTGACTTAAATATTCTTTTTTCAGGAAAATACCATTTTCAGTGGCCCTGAAGCACAAGCATAAGGCATGTGCTGCCCTGCTGGATCCTTCATCCGCTGCACCACTTGTTTGGCCATCCCCGTTAAAGTTCATCAGTGAGCTCAGTCAAGAAGCAAAGGCCTTACTGGAGAAAGCCTTGCTAGATGCTAACAGGGAGAGGGAAAAGGCCATACTTAAGGAGGTTGACATGCCCTCATCACCACTGCATTCTGAGAGTGAAAACAGTAATATGGCCTCTGAGGTACAACATCTTCCTTTCTTGACGGCTGTAGGATTTAGATTAGTGGTTTTACTTAAATGCATTTTGCAGTTTAATATGGTTAAAGATTATGCTTTGGTAGAGGTGCCAAGAATGTTCTTTAGGACACAATAACATTACACACTACTATTTCATCTCTGTATTTTTTCCCTAGTAATACTTCATTGCTAGATTCAGGATTTAGAACGCAATAGTCTCATTAGTATCTCATGCCAATGCATGAGTGTGATCAATTGTTTCTCTGGAAATATGGAATGGACATTTTGTTTTTAAAAGATGATAAATTATATATTTCTTGGTTATTTCTATTCATATAGGCGGACGATATGGAGTTGTGTTGCATATGCTTTGACCAAGTGTGCACAATTGAGGTCAGACCCTGTGGCCATCAAATGTGTGCTCATTGCACCCTAGCACTATGCTGTCACAAGAAGCCTGATCCTGCTACTGCTGCCCTTTCTGGACCAGCTTGTCCATTTTGCCGTGGTGCCATTATTCAATTACTAGTTGCTAAGATTAACAAGAGCTGTGATACCGAAGTGGAATCTAGCCCTATGAAGCCAAGGAGATCCCGAAAATCAAATTTCAGTGAAGGAAGCAGCAGTTTCAAGAGCTTGTCGGCATCATTTGGAAGGATTGCCGGCCGCAATTCGGGGAAAATTGCAGATGAAAAACAGTGGGAGGTTTCTTGAGGCTTGATAATTGTCAGTCGTTATTTTGATTGGAAGCCGGCAGGAAGTGATATAAATGATGGTTTTAATTACTGTGGAATGGCTGCCTATATTGGGTTCTTGTATTCATTTTGTTTCAATTGTCCAAAGATCACTAAGATCATGAGAGACAATAGTTTGTAATCGGTTTGAGTTTTGATTTCTGAAATCTGATTCTTGGAGATGGAGGACACGGTTGTGTATTGTTCTCCCAAATATGAAATATATAGTATGCAAGAGTTAAAGGTAAGTTTCTTTACGGCTTTAACAATGGTAAACATAGTAATTGGTTTCACATCATTTGAATAGTGAACATCTGATGGAAAAGTGAAAACTTGTTTTGATTAAGCTCACATTTTTATTTTAGCCTGGACGAAGACTCAACCAGGAAGTCTTAATCACCAAACTTCATTTTACTTTATTTTTCATGTGAAGTACTTTCGCATGACCTGAGATGTGATCTCCCATTGCAATAAAGGAAAAAGGACTTGACATGCTAAAAATAAGTGGTGATCCCCACCAATATAGAAACAAACACCCAAACCACTATGTAATAACTTCTACCACACCAGAATGGTATGCAACTTCAGTAACTTAAAGAGGCTTTAATAGTTCAAATTTATGGTCTGCAGCATGTATTTATTGTTGTATTACTATCATAAAGAACTGGAGACTATATGTGGGCAGAATGGAGTACGAACAGAACATCCTAATGTCTTGAAATTTAATTACCAAGCAGGAGAATCTCCTGAAGCAGATAAAGAACTCCGTGACCTCTAAATGAAATATAAATCAATAACAAGGGATCATCACATGTTGAAATATCCACACAGACAAGAAAAAAACTATTGGTGTTCCTTATCCATCACTCGTCTAGTTCACTGTTATGATCATGCTAATGTCCACCATCATCACCCAATGAAGCAGATGGCCAATGATCAGTTTGGCTACCCACTAATAGTGAGGTTGAATCTTGAATAGGGGAGAAAACATTGGGTCCATAAGTCGTAGGACACTGGTTCCTTCTGTATGTACTCGCTGCTCTTCTCTCAGCTTCAAGGTAGTGACCAAGAGAGGGGGTATCATTTCCACTCACTGCATCAGTACTTAGCCTTGAACAAAGTGAAAACAACCAAGGTTTCAGCTTGTGAATTCTTTTGCTGTCCTTCGAGGCTTCCACCATTCTTCCTCTTGTTGATCTGCCTGAGAGTTCTAAGAAGCTAGAAATACCAATGAGGCTGCCAAGTGTAATGCTGTTGTCACGGAAGAATGATCCAGTGGACTATAGCAAGCCATGTCAAATGAGTCAGGTAAATGGCTTGATCATGAATACTTCTATAAACAAGTAAATTTCAATTCACATTCATTCACATGATAGAAAAAAACAAAAAACAGTAATGAATGGGAGGATAAATGTGCACAGTTTTATTCCCTAAGAGACTATTTCCGAGATTTGAATCCTTAACCCGATATCATTATGCCAAAGGCTCTCTCAATCATTACTAAAGAAGCATCTATGAAAAATGTCACTCATACAGTCTTCTGTGTTTGATCTGCTTTACATTATGATTGTCCCTTTCTGACACTGTTCAAGGGTGATGTTATGCATTTTAACTTTTTTTTGTGCAAACCCTCTAATAAAAGACTCAAATTTCAACAAAGCGTGCTTCCGATTGATCTCAAAATGACAAACAGTATACCAACAAAATGGCAATTAAAGTGAAATCAACGTCACTCTCTGTCAAACAATTATGTGCTAGGCCATGGCATGGACCCCATTAGCGTCAAACAATTATTTACACACAAAAGAAGCGAAGGATCCAAAAGAGACCGACAGGGGAAGAAATCCGAAGCCTTATGGGCATG